CAACAAGTGGAAAAATACGAATGTGTTTTTGTGTAAACAGTAGAGTCTATGTTAGATAATATATTTACAATATTTAGCAGATTTATTTTATTTTTCTTATTTCATATTTTAAAGTTAATTTACTTCACCGAGAAGAATGATTCTGAAATCTGATGCATTTCCTCTATTAAGTTGTCTGTAGAGGGATGTTTTGGTTACTTTGCACACATTTCCCAGATTCAGCCCTGCTCTTGCAAATATGTGTATAAATATTCCTATGGACTGGAGTGACAAAGCATATATGTATGAACTGGAATGGGAACTCCACCTAATTAGTTTGCAGAATGCCATGGAATTTATGAAAAACATAAGGGAAATCATGAGGTTAAACATGAAAATTGTAGTGCATACTACTCTTTGCCAAAATAACTTGTGGAATCCTCAGAAACCAACTGTGGAGGAAGCTAAAGAACCACAATGAGTATGAAGTACAAGGATAATGTTAAAAAGAGTAATGTTGTCATGGAAACTGTTCCAAAACCAGTGCAGCCCCAGGAGTAGCACCAGACCTCATAAAGGTGTCCATGGTTGCTCTGGGATGAACTCTGGTAACACAACTTTGTTAGCAATACTGCATGACTGTAGGAAAATGAGGCATTTTTATCTGCAGTTCAATTTCAGTGTATTTTCCCTGGCATTAATCAATTCTTCAGTAGAAGAAACCATATAGTTAGTCGTTTCTGAGTAGTGTCTATGCCAAGAAAAATTTTGGCCAATCCTTTGTAGTTAAGGGTGTATCATCTTCCTTGGTAGACACTGTCCTTTCATTATCTTCTGAGTAGTTCTTCCTGCGCAGTTACTTCAACAAGTTCCAGCAGGTGTAACTAACGTTAGCTGCTTTTTAATTCCTTGGACTGATTTTATATGTATAATTAAACATTGTAATTCTCCTAGCTTGTTTTTGTTACGTTTTGTTAAGTTTGTTAAGTTTTAAAGCCTGCTCTGCAGTGAAGATTGATGCAAAATAATTTAGCTCCTCTAGAAATAGCAGGCTTATTTCTTAATGAATTTCCAGAAGTGTAGGGTGCTTTCACCCCTTTTGTTGGCCTAACTTTCTGATTTATTGTGAAACCCATGATTTAAACTGCAGTTAGCTATTTGCTCTTGAATTCAAACTGGTGCTTTTAATTATGTTTCTCCACTTTGGGTGTTAGAATTGGTGCTTCTTTTTATCTGACTAATGAGAGTTTCTTTTTCCTAAAATGCATTAATAAGCACTTTCACAGGCATTGTGAAGAGTAAGTCCAGTGTAGTTCCCTTGGTAGACCTAGCTACCACTTGTAGATGTTTTTAGTTACAATCTGAAATTAGAAGAGTTCTCTTCTTGATTCCTAAGTGCAAGAAAAGCTGAGCCTCTCTGCTTTCTCAGAGCTCCTAAGGAACAGCTTTTGCCTTTCTGCGTTACAAGGACAGCTTTCAGTACCCAGTCTCTCTTACTCACTTCACTTCACTTACTCACATCAACAAAAAGTGTTAAATGGAGCTAGATCTGAAAATTCTAGGTTTACACAAAAATAGAGCTTTTTATATGCAGAAAGCTTTTTCGTTGATTGGGGATGCATATTTCCCATGTTTTGGTAACTGTGCTGGGCAACTGTAATGATTACAGTTTGGCTGAGAGAAACGAGCCCGGAAGAAACAGCTTCTTAATTGATTTGTTTTGCTGCTCACAAAGCACTGCGTGGTTATATAACGTCTCCAAAGAGTTTAGGCATCGGAAAGAAAGAGGTGACATATAATTCTATATCTCAGATCTCAGCAGTGTTTCTGGTAGGCTTAACAGTAGAGAAGGGATGTACTTAACTTTTTTGATTGTAAATAGTCTTGTCATTTTTAGATGCCTATGTGCGTTGTGCTGCATCGCAGGAGGCAAAATGCAAGGCTGGGCAGAAAGCATTTCCTGGGGATAAACAACTGAAACGGCTATGCGTAACCAGGGCTGAGATTTCATATTGGGCCTCTAAAGACAAAAGAGTCTGTGTTTTCTCTGGGCTGTAAACCTATTACTTTGAAGCAATAGCTTTGCTCTGTGTTGTCCGCAGCTGGGAATATACAACTTTTTGGCAGAATGCCCAGATAGAGGACCTGCCTTTTAATGTTCTGCTATGAGTCTGTCATCTGGATCAGAACGGATATTTGCATTTGGATATGGATATTTGGGTATAGGAGGCTATAAAAATCTAAGCATGAATGGGACAGTGACTTCATGAACACACAGATAGCTTCTGGCAGAATGGTGTTTCCTCTTTCCGGTGCTGATGTATTGCCAAATGTTGACAGGATTTTTGTGTAGTTGACATAATTGTCATTTTAGTGTACAGGATTTTAGATTTGGAAAAAGTAATTTGGAAGCCTGTGATTTACAAAATCATATTTATTTTATGTCAGCCTCCATATTAAAGCTGTTTTATAGTTAAGGGAACGAGGATATTTCAGTGCATTTTCTACTAATGCATTAGTGCTATCCATTGCAAGGGTAAAGAATAGCTGTCACATGGTTTGCTAGTCCATTTCATATACTGTCCCCTCAAAGTTAGTGTTTTCTGCAATAACCTTGCAAAATAATCCAAAAATAAATTTTGATGGAAGAACTGTAATATTTATGTCACTGCGTATAGTAGTTAATCATGCCAATGACACGTTGCATTAGTCAGTTGTTAGGGGAATCAGTTACTCCAGCCCTGCTCTCTGCTGTATGTATGCATGTTCAGAAATTAAGTCTTGTTAACGCACAGAAAGAAAATCTTACTTTCCTGTCTGCATAGAAGGCAAAACTGAACCAAAGCTATTAAAGGCAATGCACCTTGGATTCCCTAGTATAAGATCAAAGCTTAAAGAGCCCATCATAGAAGCACAATCAAGTGGGTTTAAGCAGAGCACGTATGACTGATAGCACTTGAGCACTTGAACTGATAGCTGAGATCTCAAATACATGAAGGAACTGGTATAACAATATAGGGCCTATTCTGAAAGGGCAGAACCTCAAGTAGTGTGAATGGTTTATTTGACTTTAAATGCCCAACTGTAAGATGAGTATATGCAAATCAAGATTGCATCTGAACAAACATTTTGGTGCTGCTTTGACCTTTAGAAAATATTTTGTGACAGAAGAAATATTTTGCTTGAAGTCTAGAAAAAACAAACATGCCCACACAAAGCTGTGAATGCTTATTGTTCTTTGTTTCTCAGTCCACCATTTTCCCATACAGTTCAGTGCTATATGTCTTGCACATAACGAGTAAAATCCTTTCCTACACAGTTCAAAGGCACATAGCCATGTTTCTCACAGCAAACCACATAGATACTTTGTTATTGTGGTGGAGCATGTGCATGGTTGAAGGGAAACTAATAGTACCTTATTTAAAGTGAACTTTCAAAATCACAACTAAGATTTTAAAAGATGCCCTTTATTTTCAGATATGTTCAGTCCTCATAAATAATTGGCAGGAATATACTTGTTATGCTCTTTTTTTTTTCTTTTGTGGACTAGAAATTTTTGTGGATCTAGACTTACGAAATGTTACTCTCAGAAGTCAAAACAAGAGTTTGCATCAAAATGCAAAGTACTCTGCCAATAAAAACAGACACCAATATATGCTGTGTATGCAGCAAATGGTTGTATTTAAACAAAATCTTAGGAATATGTTATTGGTTTTTAAGTGCAAATTTGTCTGAAAGTGAATCTTAAAACTTTCTCATTTTCTGGCATATTCTCAGCAAACCACTGTAAAATATTGCGGAAAGTGAGTAGCGATGCCTGTTTCACAAAAAGAAATTTTTCAGTTATTAATGCTTGCATTCTTTTAAAAGGTGCTTTAATAACCATTTTTCTGCAAACAAAACTACCAAGTCTAGTTCTGTTGTGGAGTGAGACATCTGCTTCATCTTTCATGTTTGCATTACAGTACTGATCTATTATTCAGTCCATAAAACAGGAAACCAAATCAAATACTTTTTCAATTAAGTACACCTTTTTAATATTAGCATGTTTATTTAGAATATGTATTAGAAAACTTTCCGATATTTTGTTTGTTTTTAAAATAACATTTTACAGATCCACTGTTTGGCGGGAAGGAAAAAAAAATTTTTGAAATTATTATTGAGCAATAAATATTTCACATTCATCACAAAATATTTATCCTCAACATAACAACCATAATCTTAGCTAATTCATCCTGTAACTGTATTTTGTGCTCACTGCCATCCTGCAGACAGAATGTTTTTCATGCACATGCCGCTTGAAACTTCCATTTTCCTTTGCCACATAAGAAGAAGTTTGGATGCAGTCTTGAGATGCAGACTCCAATGGCAGACGTGAGAGTTTCCAGTGTAGCCAGCATCAACGAGCAGCCGTCTGTGGGAGGGCTCCTAGACTTCTGAAGCAAGCAGGGCAAAATGCCTGGACAAATTTTTGTTGGCTTGGCAGCTTTTTAGCAGAAGAGCTTCAACACAGCCCCTGGCTCAATGCGAGCAGAACCTGCTGGTTACTGGTAGAGCATCTGGTTTTCCGTGTGGCTTTGTGGCTGGCTGTGCTGTGGGTGAGAATGTGTGGTTGGACGGGGAAGGCAGAGGCTACTTAGTAGTGCTGCAATGCAAATATTGATAGATTTGGGAGAGGAGCGCTGAGCTTCACCCAGGCAGTACAAAATAACAATGGGCCTCAGCTGTTGGCTCAATGGTCAGTTAAAGAATGCAGCTGGCTTCAAGCTGTCCTGCCCTCTAGCCTTCCATTGATTCTTTATGACTTTGAGACTTTTTTTCTCTTTTGCCATAATTTACTTTGTCTTCAATATACAGATACTCTCTTATACTTCAGGGAAATATTAAAGATTAATTAATAAATATTTCTAGAAAAGGTACTAAAGGTGACAAAGTATTACAGAAATATCAAAGGGTGGGAGTTTTTAAAGGGTTTATCTCTAAATTATTACCTTAATGTTTGCTGTCGCTTTGTTTGATAGGCTCAGAACAAAGAAACAAAAGTACTGGCTGCTGCAAAGGTGATTGATACTAAGTCGGAAGAAGAACTAGAAGATTACATGGTTGAGATTGACATTTTAGCATCCTGTGATCATCCTAATATTGTTAAGCTCCTAGATGCTTTCTACTATGAAAATAATCTATGGGTATGTATTTTTTGTCTCTAAATGCTTTAACTTGTGTTAAAAGTATATTGAAATTTCATTTTTCCTGACTTAAATATAAATATTACTTTATTTAATTAGTGTATCTATTCTATGTTGTTACTGTTAGGATAACTGCCTACAGTTTCAAAACTTATTTGCAAATTGTGATTATGACTTCTAGCAAACTGTCCTTAAAATTGAACTAGCTGAATCATCCAGTCAGCAGCTTGAAACTAATATTTGGAAATTAGCAGTTTATTTACATGCATAGGGAGAGTTCTTAGGCTGTGCATATTGGTAACAGCAGGACTCAGATTTTAATTACATTAGTGCAGTTGGATTTGGAAACTGCAACTGCAAAATTAATTTGGGTCTGAAAAAGTCAATCGTTAAGTTTGTGTTTATTTTACATCCAGTTGAATTCATTGGTATCCAGCAGGGAGGACAGTTAACTAGGACTTGAACCATAATTAGTTTACTAAAAATCTAGACCTTTTGCAAAGAGAAATATAGTGGGTATTCCTACAACTCTTCCTCAGTGTTCTGCTAATTCCTTTGCTCTGTATGATTTTGGGTAATGAATATATATACATATATTTTTTATTTTAGGTGACTTGATATATTTGTAAATAATTTTGGGGTTGCATAAAGAAAATACAGATGTTGTCTTGTTTTTTTGTTTGTTTGTTTTTAAGTTTATAATGCAGAAAAAAAAAAAAAAAACCAAAAGAGTAACATAGGAGGTTTCCCTGGGGTCATACGAGTCTGCTTTGTTCCTTAAGCACAAAAACAATGAGTGTGTAATACCATGCTTCCTGAGGTAGATTTATTTTGATGGGCTTTGTGAACACTCAAGTGATCTGAATGGAGAGTAAAAAGATATTGTGTTACAGAGTGGAATAATGAAAACATTTCCATGCATAAAGGTCAGCATGAAAGCAAGTATGCATAGGGGCAGAATATGAAATTTGAGTGGATGAGTTCACTGGTAGAGCAAAGATGGTAGGAAATGGAAGATGAAATCTAAGATATAAAATTGCATATATATGGTTACTGTAAAGTAGCAGTGCTATGAGAGCAGCAGGGAGAGAACCATCACAATGTGAGAAGCAAACAGAATTAAGTGTCAGGGAAAAAAAAAAAAAGAGTTGGACATAAAACAGGCCCTTTGGCTTTCCAGTTTTAAAAACACACCTTCTTTACCAAAGAGAGATTTGCCTCAGATCAAACAGCAAATTTTAGAGAAAAATTATTTATCCTGATTCTCCTGTTCCTAATTTCTTGGTTGTGGATATGTAGAAGTATAAAAATGGTGTGACAGTTTAGAGTACTTATGAAGAATTGCACTTACTGTGTCACATTGTTGCAGTGATGGTTAATAATAATTTGAAGTAGTGTTATATCACATAAGTGGTAAATATGCATGTTACTGAATATAGCATAATTTAGACCTTTCTCTTGGGTGAATCATTATGTTCTGACCTTAAAAGTACTCTGCATCAAGTAGTCAATATTCTAGGAAATAAAATCTTGAATTGTGGCAAGAAATTCTCTTTACCATCAGTCTGAAAGTTATAATTAAAATTTAAAGAAGTTTTAATTTAAAGAAAAAGGAAAAAAAAAAATGGAGTGGTTCCTTTTGTTTTCTCCCTATTCTCCTCCTTACTTTGTTTTCTTTCTGTTCTTTGTCAACATAATTTCTAGCTCAAAATGGTGGTGGTTTTAGTTTTGTTTCACAAGGAATTTGGTAAATGAAATTTGAATTCTTTTTAGTATTATTAGATTCTGGGATAAGAATTACAGGCATCAATAAGAAAGGATAAAAATGAATGAAAATATTTCAGTTTACTCATTAAACATTTATTTTCTGATTTTATTTATTTATTTTCTGAATATATTTTGCCATGTCTTTATTTCAGATGAAAGAAATTTATACGGAAAAACAGAAATTTCTTCCACTAGAAAAATCATGTAGCTTCTGTTCTTGGACTTTTTGATCAAAGAGGGATTATCATATAGACAGGCAGTGTAATAATTGAGAAGTGAGTTTTGAGGGATTTTCTAAATCACATTACAAGAAGTCAGATACAAGTTGACCCTAATACGTTTCATTATCGAATTTTATATTTGGATTAGTGCTTTTGTCTGAGAATCTCCAAGGATTTTTCAAACAATTTGCTTGAGCTTCACAGTCCTAAATTTACTTGGGCAATATACACATATTTTGAGGAGGTTGTGAAGTAATTTATCAAGAAAAAATAGCTTGAAAATCATGTCTCCTGATAATGTTCCTTTAAACAATGATTCATTTCAGCAGAAGTATTTAATTATTAATTTATGTATTCTTTTGTTTGTATACAGATCCTGATCGAATTTTGTGCAGGTGGAGCAGTAGATGCAGTAATGTTAGGTAAACAAATGTTCATTTGCTTTGCAAAACACATTTTTGATGTATTGGATCCTCTAAATACTTGTGATGACTTTTCTCATGCTCTTATGAAGCTCTCTGTTGTTATACGCTGATCAATATGAACCTTTTTCAGGATATGATTCTTCCCCTTGCCTAGTCATCCTTCAAATTATCTTACGATATTTTTTTATATAAACCTCAAAGTTAGATTTTCTGTACTAGTCCTCAAATTAGTTGAATGCTAATACCAGTAGGTAGAGGATCTTGTTTTTAATATTTCTGTGTAGCAATCTCTAAATTAGATAACTTTTTCACAGTTCAGATAAGGAGGTACAGATCTTTCATAATAAAGATCTTTCCGGGTACAGGCAAGGAAGTTTTTGCTCCCCTGAAGTTATTTGAAAATCTGCTATTAATCTAGATAGAGTGAGAATTTTGAACTAGAATTATTTCTCTAATACAATGTATACAGAACCTGTCAGCTTTATTAGTTATTTTTATATTTACTTCTAGGCTGATCATTATGAATAAATAAGGATATAAAAATGCAAAAATGTTGTATTTATTTCTCTCTCTCTCTCTCTCTCTTTCTGTCTCTGTCTCTCTATTTTAGAGCTTGAGAGACCATTAACAGAGCCACAGATCAAAGTCGTGTGCAGGCAGACACTGGAAGCATTGAACTACTTGCATGAAAATAAGATAATCCACAGAGATCTAAAAGCTGGCAATATTCTTTTCACATTAGATGGAGACATCAAACTAGGTAAGCAAGACATCAAACCTCATCCCCAGAACTTCAGGTGGTAATATAGTTGTATTTTCTCTAGGCTGTATTTTGACCGGGTTTACTATATATGTATTTAAATGTAATTCTAAGAATAATCTTTTTTTTTTTTTTAATAATATTGTTACTGTGAAAAAGAGATAAAGCTCGAGTAAGTGTCCAAACCATGGTTGACAAATTTATCATAAACTTCAAAATTCACATCCTTACCCCCACTAAAAACACTTATTCCTTTTGTTTCTTCCATTATTTCTGTGTGTATAGAAGTAAAATTCTTAACTACTCATCATTGCACTGATACTATGATGGAACAATTTGGAAGAAAACTATTTGTTTTAAATTAGTTTTCTCTATTAGTTTTAGAAATATTAGTTTTCTCTTGTTGTTTCCTATTATTTAAATTTAACCAAGTGTCCAAATTTTCCCTCTGATGTGCTGGGGAATCTGTGAATCTGTGAGGAATCACGAAGACTTCCTGGCCACTTTTTGAGGGTGAGCAGTCTCCCTTCATCTAGCCAGGAAAAGACAGCAATTATCTGATCCAGTGGCGTCAGGGCTTCCTCAGGGACAAATGTGCAGAAGCCTTTACGGCCTTTACAGTGGCTGTGCCAGTGACAAGCTCCGTGACATAGCAGTTTTGTTCAGGTTTCAAAAACTTCTCTGTGTGGCACCTGGGATCAGGCTACTGCTTTAGATTCAAGATGTACAGAGGGTAAAGATAAGGAGAATCTAAAGATCACCACCGTTAACTGAAGGTCTAACTCCCAGCCTGGCCACAGCTGTGCTTTTTAAAGGTAAACCAGGCATGTCCAGATTCACTAGATATATTTACTACCTACCTCTTACTGATCGCAGTCCTGGTGCATGGCCAGGTGTTAAGGTATAATACATCATCTCTGCTAAGAAACTGAGAATAATTAAGCAGCTCTTTTGATAGGTTGATCCATTAGCATGTCTGTGTTTCTGCACAGATTCACTTGCACAAGACTATTGTTTGTACTTAAAATACCTACATGGGCCTTTCTTTCCATCTGCAAAGTATGGATAATTTTTTTTTCCACTAAGCCTGAAGATTAGGAATGGACTCGCATGCCAAATGTGTAATGTAGTGGAGCTATTCTCTTTAGTTTATAAGTACTGCAGAAAGAGAAACCATAATAAGATTCGTACGACCAGAGACACATTCATTTGTTTCTGTTCATTTTAATTGCCTCATATGACCTGCTTCCTGCTCACGTGGACTGGAACAATGTTAAGCTTTTGTCAAGCTTGATTGATGTCAAGGTACTATGTTTTATGGATACATGCAGTTTTGCTAACTGTGTTTCCTAAAGGAGATTTACTTTATTTTTGAAAAGTGTACAGCACCATTCCAGGAGCTGCTTACTCCTTGTAACATGTCTATACTCTTTGCTTCTAGCACATACAACAACACCAAAAACTTAAATCTCTTTTGTAAATATAGGAAGGGCCAATAGATTCCCCTTGCTGCATATTATTTTCATGATAATATTTATGCCTTTAGAATCTGTAGTCTCTCAGTATTTGAGATTTTGTATTTCAACAAATAACTCTCTTAATCCTGACTTTTTTTTCAGAGCAAAATTAGACTTCTCAAGTGTTGAGCTCATCAAGTCATTTTGGACAGATTAAAGCCAGGAACATATGGCTGTTTATCCCTCCGATCTGATCAGTAGATCTTCATTAAGAAACGCTACTTTTGTAACAGATGTGTAACACTTAAATATAATTGTCTTTTTTTCTAAATATTTTCTAAATAGGAAATGTCATGCTTTACAGATGAATAATAGTAATCCAAAAGTTATGTTGATTTTTAGTCAGATCTTACATCAAAGGTGAATATGCAAGATATCAAATAATATAAAATGAAAAATTAAGTGGAAAGAAATCTGAGGTAGAGAACAATGACAACACAAAAATCTCGCTGTAGGAAGCTTTGAATCCTGAAATCAAAAATTGAATGAGTTGTCAAATTATTAAAGTAGGTTAATATGCCATTTCTGAGTAATTCCTACATAGGTTAGAGGAAAAAAAATCTACCGATTAAAAATAATGTAATCCATTTGCCCTTACAGCAAATATGTGCATCTGTATTGCCCCACACAGTTTAATGCTGATATGGCTTTCTAAGCAGTGAAGAATAGCATTTATTAAATATCTTCTTTTAGGGATGTTGACCTGTGTGTATCAGCACTCGGTTATCAAAACAAATTATTCGTTTCACTTTAGAGTTTTACTAATACTGTAGAAAGTTTGTTTTGTAAAACAAAATGCTCTAAATCAAAGTTGTTAAGTGTAAAAATACAATGCATGTTTCACCACCAAGTTAATAGTATTTTTACTGTTTGTATTAAGCGGACTTTGGAGTATCAGCTAAAAATACAAGAACGATACAGAGACGCGACTCTTTTATTGGCACACCATATTGGTAAGTGCACTGCTTTGCTGACCTTCTAATTGAAACAAATGCTTTAGTATCATCTCCGTTGTTAACGTTACAAGCTTGATAAAAGAATTATTAAGTATTAAAGAATAGCATCTGCTTCTTAAATGTTTTCAGTGGTCTGGTTTTTCCTAATAAAATGCATGCTGTTTTTTCTAATTCTGTGCATCATTCTCTCCTGTTTGCAGGATGGCTCCAGAAGTAGTCATGTGTGAGACGTCTAAAGACAGGCCTTACGATTACAAGGCTGATATTTGGTCTCTTGGCATTACTTTAATAGAAATGGCTCAAATAGAGCCACCTCATCATGAACTAAATCCAATGCGAGTGCTTCTGAAAATAGCAAAATCTGATCCTCCTACATTAGCACAGCCTTCAAAATGGTCAGTATTTTAATGATGGATTCTTGTGCTCTATCCCAGTTTGTAGATTTTGATTTTGAGATATGCCAAGATTCTTAATTTACACTCGTTTGCACGGTTGTGTTAAACTTTATGGGACTGACTTCATGCACAAGTTAGATACATGCTCTCTCTATATATGTGTTTTTGTTGTAGTTCTCTAGAAGTTTCCATACTGAAGAATGTTGCACATTCTGAGAAGTTAGAAAAACAATTTAGCATTAAAATATACATAAAGTAGCTCTTTAATAGTGCAGTAAAAGATCTAAAGATAAAATGAAAAAAAAGAAAATCAGTAAAAGGAGACCTTTAAGGACTTCATACTTTAAAAAAAAAAAAAAAGATTTTAAAAGCCATTCATTATAATACGTTATTGTGTTAACAGTTAGTGGTATAGGAGATGGGGTATATTGTAAATTCAGTGCCAAGATAAACCCTTCTAAAAATGGAAGAATATTGTTAAGATATTTGTATCGCATCGCTCTTTTCATTCATGTACAATCCTGTTTTCTCAAGTGGATAGGAGAACATGGATTTGTAATGTAGATGCATGTGGAAGTAAAAGAATATTTCACTATACACCAGTCTGATGTCAAGACTAAAGGGAAACCATTGTCCGTTTGCTTTTTGGGTAGGTCACCAGATTTTAAAGATTTCCTAAAAAAATGTTTGGAAAAGAACGTGGATGCAAGGTGGAGCGCAGCGCAGCTTCTACAGGTAGGAAGAATGAATTGTTAAGAGCTATCCTATTTTTTTTGTTTAAAAGCAAAGCAGTCCTACAGTAGAGACGTAAGAAATTAAAAAATGAGTTTGTGTGCGGTTTGTATTGAACTTGGTTGGACTGATCTGCATTGGGTAAATTCTGATGAAATAGCATTTAAGTGCAGATCAGATTCTTTCTAAATATTTCAGAACTTCTTATGTATTTCCTCTTACTTATTTTAGTATATGTAACTGCTCACTTTGCGTGAGCATTTAAATTGTACTGCAGTGCCTCTAATGGATGAAGGTATGCGCTTATTTACGTAAGAGGTCTCTTGCTGACAGGTGTTTTAGAAGCTTAGTGCTCAGCCGCCTTCCGTAATGCTGTCACTGCAGAAGAGCCAAACGAGACTGGATGTGACTAGGTACATTTGATTGTGTTTAACGTCAGCACACGTTCACTATACCCAAAATACCTGTGGAGTGTTGAATGGATTTAAGCAGCAGGACCAAGCAGAGAAAGAACCCTCAGTAGGGGCAGGAGTAGAGTGGGTAGCTGTCTTCTCTTAAATAAATAAGTAGGATTTTACACTTTTGTTGGGAAAAAGTATTCGAAAGGCAAAGTATTTTTCTCGATAAACTATCAGGAAATAGTTTAACTGTGGATCTGAAAAGAAATGAAAAGCAATTCCAGGAAAAATAACCTTTTAAAAAATCTTTCACTTTTTATTTTTTGGACTGTGAAGCAGGTCAGTATAAATCAATTATCTGTATCTTTAATATGTTTAGTAAGCTGCTTACCGCAATATATATGAATAGAAATGTTTTGTTTTAAAAAACTCTACAGAAAAAAATGTGCATTGATTAAAAACGGTGTTGATTAATGTTAACATCAGGAATCTTCAGGTTTTAGAGAGAGTAAAAAATGAAATAAGTTCAGAGAAATATTACAGTTTTCTTACTGTGCACAACGAAGCCGGCACTTAACATTGTGTTTGCTTTTTATTTTCACAAGCATCCGTTTGTCACTGTTACTTCCAATAAACCAATACGAGAATTGATAGCAGAAGCTAAAGCTGAGGTTACGGAAGAAGTTGAAGATGGTAAAGATGAGGATGAAGAGGAGGAAACAGAAAATTCTCTGGTCAGTTTAAAATCTACATTTTTAAATGTGCAAATAAGCTTTGGGGGATTTTTGTTTGTTTGTTTCCTATGGAGCACTCCATTTTCTAAATTTCTGTCCAACTAGTACTTTAAGTCTTCTAGGAATAAAATAAACATACTCTTTCGTACTATATTTTTATAAGTAAACATACTACTGTGTCTTAGTATAAAATAACAAATCAATATTTTCAAAATTAGTGTGTCTTTAGTCTTTAAGAACTGCTGATAATGAATTTTATGTGTATTTGTTTATATCTGTATATAATGAGATGAATTTTTAAAAATCAGATACTCATTTTCATATAAATGTTTTAAAATTAATACGGTTAGATGACCATCTATACATCTAAATAAAAGCATATTTGTGTGTGATGATTAGATCATTGTGGAAAATTATGGCGTAATTGAGGCTTGTGATTTTTACAATGTGTCTGTCATGGAAAAGCTCCAAAGCAAGCAAATATGCCTTATCAAGAAAAGATTACATGTCTTCTAAAGATATGAAAGTCTGTATATCTCTAGATGCTTAGGAATCCGATCAGACCCAATTCAGTTGCTCAAGGAGCAGAACCCTGAAGTACAGTGAGATGCCAGCTGGTTGTAGACTGTACAGGCTACCAGTTCATAGCGCTCGTGCTCAATGCTATCAACACTAACACAGAGCATTCAGTAGATGCAATCCCAGCTGCACTGGCAGTTGCTTCCTCGGTTAAAGCAAACACATGAGCACGATGTACGTCTCCCTTCCCAAGCTAGGCAACTCCAGGCCTCCATTCCCACTGGCATCTCCAGGGCTGGTGAGATGATCCCCATCTCCTCAGGCATTCCCTGCCCGAGCTGATTTAGCTGCTAAGTTCTCAATGTGCAGGAGAGGTGAGGGGTGACTGGGCTAAGTGCAGGTAGCTGTGAGTTGGTGCCATGTATTATTTCAGAGTGTTCCCTTCCCACTTTAGGAAATGGTGAGGTAGATGCGTTTACCTTATTTATTTGTGTGCCTTTTGACTACTTTTTGGCAAATAACACTAAGCTCCTGGAGCATTTAGATGAATAAATATTTTTAAATGCATTTTTAGCTTAAGGGAATTGTTTTCTGTATGCTAAGTCAGGAAGACCTTAACTAGGAGCAAATTTATGCTGAAACTCATGCTTGTTTTGTTGGCCTAGTATGCTCCCAATGGCAGATCAGAACTCTGATCTACAAATTACAGGGTTCCAACAGTAAATATATACAGAGAGATACCGTAATCACTTTGAAGATTGAAAGGGTAATTATGGTTAAAATGATACTTTATTAGTATATTCTTTTGTATGTGTATGCGATCTGATAACATTCATTCATATTCCAGCAACAGTAATTTCTATAGTTATAAATATGTAACTATTTCTGTTCTAGTTCCGTATTACCACTTATATATACCTGCAGGAAACTTTCACTGTTTTAACAGATTTTAATAGTGATTAAAGAACAAACCAAACAATTTTTTTTGGACACTTGGACCAAAGAGAAAATGAAAGTAATCTTTTTGATCGAACAATAGAAGTTCTTAATATTATATCTTATAAAGTCTGCAGTAACTCAAGCTAAATGGCTTCTACACAGCCATCCTGGCCCAGGAAGGAGGGTCTTTGAAAACTTAACTATAGGTGGGACTGAAATAGTAAAATAAGGAGCAAAAAGTGTTTGCAAAAGACTGTTAATAATGTGACAGAGTGGGCTGACAATGATCCCTTTCCTTCAATTGAGCTGTATTTCATGAAATTAACAGGAAATGGAAGAGGGTTCTTCTGAAGTTGTGTTCTGCTAATCTATGGTTTTTGTACTTGTTCTGGTGTGAGATGTAGTTAATTAGTCAAGATTATCAAATTTATATAACCGTGACTGTAAAGAAAATATATTAATCTCTCTGCAAATATTTTCATATAATTATGCTATATTTAAAAAAGAGAATGATTACATATTTTTCTTCCTTTAACTTTTTCAGCAGTTACCTGCAGACAAGCGTGCATCCTCTGACCTTAGTATCGCCAGCTCTGAAGAGGATAAACTTTCTCAGAATGCCTCTGTCCTGGAATCTCTTTCGGAGAAAACAGAAAGTAATGCAGTTGAGGAGAAAAACATCAGTATTTTTCCAGATGGTAAAACAAGTGGAGATGAATCTGAAAGCAATAAATTTGATAAATCTGCTGATAGCATGTCTGATACTCCTGTTGACAATGTGAAAGTGCAGAATGGTGCTGTGCCAACCGATAAAGGTGAGCAAGGCAAAATAATAGCAATTGAAAAGAATACAGAAGGACTAGACAAAGCAGATGAAGATACTGAACCACAGAAAGGAAATAAAGAACTTGATGTGGTTACAAAACCAAAAGTAACAGATGAATGCAACCTAAAAATAGAGAAAGAAAAAGACATTGGAAATAAACAGGCGGAAGAAAATAAACTGATAATGGCAGCCACAACTGAAAACAGTGTTGAAACTGGAGAAGCCTTTTCCAAGGAAACTAGTGAAAAAGAAGAAAAGGAAAATAGAGTAGATCTTCCAGAAAATAAAAATATAGATGTTACTGCAGAGCAAAAGGATGACAAAGATGAGGCTCAGAAGGAGGTGGTGATAGACACCACTACTGAAATTCTGGTCAATGAGGACCAAGTAGCTGATGAAGAAAAGGAGCGTGAAGTTGACAAGAATGAGGAGATAGGCAGTACTGGTGAAACTCAAATCAGTGATGGGGATAAAGTACTTGAGACAGAGGATAAGCTAATGGAAAATCAGCCTAAGCATGTCCATGAGATAATCAGCTCTGAAGAAACGGTGTCTAAAAGCCAAGACAAAGCAATTGAAGTAGACAAGGCACTAGAAGAAAGTGAAAATGAGGGTATTTGTAAAACAAGCAGCATGGAGGAAAGAGAGATCCAAGGCTCTGGAAAAGAAGACAGAGATCAGAGGGTAATAGAGAGCAAGACTGAGGATATTCCTGATAAAACAGTGGACAAACCAACTGAGATGGGCCAGGATTCAGAAGGGCATGGACCTGAGACTGTCCAGAAAAACAATACTCAGCCAGAGAAAGGACATTCAGAAAGTAGTTCGGATGAACTAATAAAGAACAAGCTTCAAGATGCAGATGACGAACGAGCTGATGACTCTGAACTCGCTCCGGTTCCTAGTATTAGCGTTAGCACTGAAGAAAGTGAGGAAAAAGTCAAAACAGATAATCAAGACAGTACTGGAACATTACAGCAGCTGGAATCGGAGACTCTAAAGGAAAATGATGCAGATTCAGGCACTGGTTCTGCAGCTGATAACAGCAGCATTGATTTGAACTTGTCCATTTCTAGCTTCCTCAGTAAAAACAAAGAGACAGGATCAATCTCTTTACAAGTAAGTGTAAGCAACCGTGTACTTTTTATACCAAATCTTACATCACTGTGACCCTAAAATAATCACCGAGTTTTACCTTTGAAAATAGGACAGTTATATTTGGTGACTGTATAGCTCTGTGGAATATGTGAGTCTGTAGAAACGGAGGTATTCTGAAGTGCGCTGACGATGCCTAGGTTTTGTGCAGTTATACAAAAAGGCAAGTGGTGACAGAGGAGCTAATAATTTTCTTATTTCATTGCATACTTGTATTTAAAAATTTAGACTAACATATAAAAATAGTTAATCATTCTTACTGGAAATTTCAGTTTGGCAATTGCATTGTTTTGGTTGTGCTATAATTGATACAGTTACACCAACATAAATGTTCTTATCCAGATAAAACACGTTCTAAAATATAAACTTTATTATTACACTGATATGCTAGGATAGTATCTGTGTGACCATCTGTTTCCCCAAAAAATAAAAAATCCAAATTGGCATAGCCATCCAAGCATGACTTTGATATAGTTGCAATATTTCTAGCATGATGGAAACTGATTTTCAGCTGGGGTTTCTTTTATATTGTAGCAGCTTTGAGGTAAGAAAAATGATTTAAACATGGAATAATTAACCAATGTTTTATTCAGGAAACTAGAAGACAAAAGAAAACATTAAAGAAAACTCGCAAATTTGTTGTTGATGGAGTAGAAGTGAGCGTGACCACATCAAAAATAGTTACCGAAAATGACTCAAAAAGTGAAGAGATGCGATTTCTACGGTAAACCTTTTTAACAGTAAATTTTACAAGAGCTTTTAGTGTCTCAAATGTAGCTGCTATTTTTATTTTCTTTTTGAATAGAAAAAGGGTGTTAGCAGACTTATTTCTTTAATGTTTGGAGACTGAATGCAGATTTTCCATTAATTGGAAGGAATCTTTTTTAGAATTACAAATCAAATCAAAACTAGCTTTACTAAACCTAAGTTGAAGGCTTTTGTTTGGGCGGGTGGTTGGTTGGTTTGGGTATTTTCCCTTTTTATTTTCCTACCAATGTTAAAAAGCTCTTTTTCATTATTAGGCGTCAAGAGCTGAGAGAGCTAAGACTCCTTCAGAAGGAAGAGCAGAGAGCTCAACAGCAGCTCAGTAATAAACTCCTGCAGCAGCGAGAACAGATGTACCGACGTTTTGAACAGGAAATGACAGTGAGTTTCTTTGTTTTGGTACCAAGAAACAACTATATAACTTTTTGAAGTTAAACTAATACTTTCAATGATGCTGTCCTGATGGACTTCCTAGAAGACTACTAGCAGTTTTCCCTCTATGGTTGTTGTGTCTCCGCTTTCATACTCTGTGCTACTAACGAAAATGTTTTGTATTGTGGATATTCCCAGCTTGTGTCACTGTACAGTATTTAGCATTCTGAAGAATATGCCAAATTAAATGGAATTATTTTTACAGAGTAAAAAGCGCCAGTATGATCAAGAAATAGAAAATCTCGAAAAGCAGCAGAAACAGACTATAGAGCGCTTGGAACAGGAACATACAAATCGTTTACGAGATGAAGCAAAACGTATCAAAGCAGAACAGGAGAAGGAATTGTCAAAATTCCAGAACATGTTGAAGAATAAAAAAAAGGAGGTAAGAGACAAAAATAACAGAGAAGATGAGGGATGTGGCCATATGAAATGGTTGAGATTAGGACATTCAGAATTTCTCTCAGCCTTGTGTACTTTCATGAGTTGGGTCATGGGGAACTAGCAGTCAGTTTTATTCCTTTTGTTTCAGTGCTTGAAATGAAATAAGAATAGCTAATTGGAATTTACAGCTGGTGATTCATCTAGAGAAAGATACCAGCTTAAGAGACTTTTCATAGAGTCTTTAACATCAAGAAAAACTTATTTTATTACATTTGAGGAAAAATAATTTGTTGAAGACTGCAAAAGAATCCAGATATCACTTAGTATTTATCTAATTAGAATTTAAAGTAAAAGAATATAGTATTGATTGCTACTGAGAAATACTTCATTTAACAAGCTTTTTTTGTTATTTTGTTAAATTTTCATTAAACGTGCTTTTCAGATTTAGACCTTGTCTATAAGAATTGACAACAGTTATATCAACTATTTTTAACTCAAAGAGGACAGCTAGGAGAGAGAAATACTCATAGAAATAGAAGTTTGCAGTTAATTCTGTCATATGCAATTTATGCAAAGTGAGTGACATTTGAGAATGATGACATATGCTGTTAATTTACATGCATTAGAATAAGAGAAACTGATATTTTCCCATATGGATTTTGCACCTGAAAGTTACTCTATTTCTTTTCCAGATCAATGGTGTAGTGCTTGTTTGTATAGAAATGGTTCTAGTGTTTTCTTTAGTAGTTGACTCACAGAGATTTCTTTAAACATCTGTATTGTTAGTGCTTTTGCACAGAATGATCCTGTATTAGTTCAGAAGTGCATAGAAAAGAGTTGTATTCAGTCTGAACTATATGCTGATATGTAATAACTTTTCTTCTTTTGCAAAACCTCTTGCATTTTTGAGTCTCTTTACTGGTGATTGGGTCCTACATGGGGAAGCGGGAAGGATTTTGTGTATTGCTCTGAGCTAAAAGCAGTTTTTCCATGGAAATAGGAATATCATCTGGTGATTTGGACTCTTTTTTCTGATGTTGCTTCCACTATTAAACAAACAGGCATTTGTTTTGGGGTGCATACTTTTGTATTTAAAGCTTAAGAAGGCAATTTACAGTTTGAAGGAAAATGCAGCTGGCACTCTGAAAGTCTCCATGCTTTATTTCGGAGCATACAGTGTTTAATTATTGTAACTTTTGTATTATTGTAACTATTGTAACTAAATATTGTAACTTATTTACCATTTCATGGTAAATAAGACATCAGCAAATTACCAAATTCACAACCAGTTGAATAAAGCAAGTTATATTTAGAAAATTGCAACTAAGCTAGCTCAGTTTGCCTCTGATTGAACAACATGGATCATTTCAGAAAATTGTAAGTAAGTACTTCTTACAAATGTAGTTCCTGGAGCTTTTGACTTTAAAATTTGTCAGAACTGAACATTTAACGTTTGCTTCTGAGACTTTTTAAGATTTAAATATGGATCCTATGTAAATCTTATATACGTTTGAGAAGCTATGACATCTTATAAATTCAGATTTGTCTGGCTCTCTAGACAAACCTGAATGTCGGATTTGTCTATAAATTCAGGCTGTCAGAAATAGCTGTTTTTCAGTGGAAGTTACTTTAAACTTCCAATTATTTTTCACAAACCTTTTCCGTGAGATAAACATACTGTATAGTCCTTTTCAGGAATGCTTCCAGAAAATGCCACTTCTGCAGGTGGTGGTTTTCTTAACTCCTAGCTATTCTAGCTGCTGCATGAAAACTCAAGCAACTGACTGCCATTTCTGCGAGCACTGGTCAGCATTTGCATGCGAAAAGAAGCTGGCATATCCCTCCTTCTGCACTGCAGTAGCGGGCATAAAGCGTGTTTTGTTTCTTCTCTTTCATCAAGCTCCTTTCACTAAACTTAACTTTTCTGCCACTGAAGCACTGCACGCTTCCCAGCATCTCTGCATGTCCGATGTTCACAGAAATGCTTGCTGTGGAGAAAGTGTTCTTTTCGCCACCTTCTGCATGCTTATATACACTGTAGGTTTTAAATGAAGTGGAGAAAGCACCAAAAGAGCTGAGAAAAGAGCTCATGAAACGCAAGAAAGAGGAGCTTGCACAAACCCAGCATGCTCAGGTAACAACAGCAGCTTCCTGCTACTAAAATGCAAAAAGCGGCAGTATTCACACAGCTTGATAATCTCACTTTTTGTTGTTGTTGAGTGAATATGAAACTTAACTCGGACTAACCCTACATATGGCTGTTTCTTCAAACACTCCCATAATACTTCCCAGAAGAACACAGTGTTTAGACCTGTAGGAACAGCAATATCTTCAGGTTTGTGCTTTTAAGCTTAATGTATTTTGTATGCTGTACCAAAAAAGAACAGCATTTTTCCACAGCTGGTTTCATGGCAGTGCTTTTTTGGGTGGTAAGTATGCCACAGGTCCATCAAATTATAAAGGCTGCAGTAGTTATTTTTGAGCAAAAAGCACAGAGGAAGAAAATACAGGCAATAAAAGCCTCAGGCATCTTGTTCCTAGCAGCAGAACAGACTAGGTAAAATGCAGTTATTTGAATGTCAAAGCGTAGGTGTATGGAAACTTTAAAAGACGTCATACATAATTTCATGCCTTCAACCTTGCTGCTGTTACATGACCTATGTAGAAAAATATTTTAGGAAGCTGTTCTTCTGATGGCCACAGCTTATAGAGAGTAAGTCTGCATCACAGCAGGGTAGATTTGGATTGAATAACTCTTACAGGTTAAATGTTTATGCAAGTGACCTACTAGAAGACAGTAGCAACTGCATTCAATTACCTGCTCTGTCCAAGAGATGATTTCCCAGGATAGAATTTGACAGAGCTACAGTGCTCCCCACTACTGAAGATAGAGACTTCTGAAATTCTCTTAAGCCATTAATTTTAGAACTGATTTTTTTATTCTTTATAATGACTTCATTTTCCTTTTTATCTTTTTTTTTCTTTATTTTAAGTAGAACATCTTTGATTACAGTGAAAGATCTTCACTTGGAATGATAAAGAAGTACTAGGCAGTGTGCAGGTGTCTTATGTTAGAATATGTAGAATTTCTTCTATCAGAGATGGCTTTGGTGTGATTACCTGTGACATTTTTAATGTATGCTACTAACATATATCAGAGTCTCATTCTTTTAAAGAATAGAATTATATTTTATTATATTCTGACATGGAAAGTACATTGTGTCCACAGGGTGTTGCTCAGGTTATGATTCAGTCTTTTCAGTTGTCTTCATGTACACTTTTCAACGCACAAATGCAGGATGTAAGTCATAATACATCTATCTCTCTATATTTTTAAAAAAGTTTGTTTCCCTCATTTTCCATAGGTGTGTTTTTTCTTCTTGCTCATATGTGCTGAGCAATTTCAATGGTATCTCAAAACCAGTTAGTACAACTTTATTACACTAAACACATAGTAAAAAGATCAAAACTACTGCAGCAGTTAACTCTGGGCAAGACACTCGTTTCTCACAAACATTATATACTGCTATTTTCTGGTGCTTATCATTTGTTCAGCACATGTGAGAAACAATGTGTGACTGTTTTATGCTCTGTGTGCAGTGAAATTCTGTATTTGAAAACATATAATGAGTTTATTTTAAGATACTTTCCAGGCAAACCAAATGGCACTTTTGTAAAGACAAGCTGCATTGCACTGCCTGCCTTCTCCACGAGCTAACAGGCTCTTCAGCAAAATTCATAATCTCTGTTATACGGGATGCTTGGATAGAAGAGGGAAGTGGAAAGGCCAGAGGTTTTTCTGAGATTGTACAATTTATCTTACAACACTTGCAATATAAGAACTTCTTTATGATTTACAATGTAGAAAGCAGCAATGATATTTAAATGATTGAGAGAGTGGTATCTTTGATACAGAACTGCTTTTTGACCATGGCCATCCTTGAAGTAAAACATTTTTCACAGCTCTAGACTATGTAGAGCAGCTGTATCCCCTGCCCACTCTTCCCCCCACATTCAAAAATCCCTGGCAAGTCACCTGTAGTATTATTTATGTGCCTGCACCTTCAGAGTACTGAAGTCCCATTTTTGATCTAGAGATAATGCGGAACTGTATTGTTCTTATCAATATCAGTGTATTTGCTTAGGAATGCCTGATTTTGTTTTCAAACCTGCTCCCCAGGCCTTTTTACACCCTCTGATCTGCCACTGTCTGAACTTTCCAGCAATTTATTGCACCTCCGGTTTTCTGTTACCGTCTAAATGTTACCCTGCTGCCCACTGAGATGAGTTTCATCTATTATTCAGTGACTTTCTGTGAAGATGAAAATCATGATTCTCCTGGTCATAATGAAAGTGCTTTTAATGAGCATCTAATCCTTATGTTGCTGTTGGCTCTTTTAGTTGAGTGTGGACTCTTTTAAAAAGAAAAAAAAATACACAGCTCAGGAGACTCCACTGATTTCCCATAGCCCAGCCCTATGATCCTGCTGCTTCCCATCTCACCTCCAGCAGACCATTTTTAACTTCATTTCATTTTGTATAATAGAAAATGCTTTAGCTGCCTGCTTGGCTCTGACAGAACACCATCATCATCCTTTCTTCTGATTGTACTTACCTCTATGTCATGGTAGAAAGATCCACTTTAATTTCTTGTTCCCGCAGTGTGCGTGTGCATGCCAGCATGCTTGTAATTACGTTAACTTTTTTGGTGGTATTTGCGAAGAGGAAAAAGGCAACAGTGCGCCCTTGGTGTGTGGGCGGGCGGCGGAGGGATCCTTAGCACTGCCCGCTCCTCATGGCGAGATGCAGCGCACGGAGGTGCCTGCTGATGGGAAGGGCCGGGCAGGGTGGGCGCTGCGCCTTTGCAAAGAGCCCGCGCAGCTCCGGCACAACAAGTCCTGCAGGAGGCAGTTCCTGCAACAGCCTTTGGCTTGGCCTTTAAAGCCAACTCACAGAACTCCCAGTCTCAGTATCTTTGTGTTCATGACAGGAGAAACCACCCAGAGCCTGAGACAATCTTTAGACTCAACTGTGTAAATTAATAGACTTGATAATTGAAAGCAAGAGAGTCATAAATATTTGGGGTTTTTTTTAGTATCCTTTAATATCCAAATATCAACTTTCTACTGAGAGCCCTTGCATTTACTAGGTTAGAAACTGCAGCTTGTTTTGAGAGACAAGAGGCAAAATGAATTGTGAATTATTGGTTAGTTTGTTGCCTTTGATCTTATTTCTGAAATATTAAATATTCTTTTATTTACTCTCTGTGTGGAAAATACAAGATGGGTAGCATAACCTCATAGCTGAGACATTAACTCAAATTAACTTAAAGGTGTTTTTGTTTTCATATGCAGTTAAACACTGGGAGAACTGAGAATCTCATTAAAATATAATGTAATTAGAAGAGCACAATTTCACTTATTTCCATTGCTATTTAACAGGAGCAAGAATTTGTGCAGAAGCAGCAACAAGAACTGGATGCAGCTCTAAAGAAAATTATTCAGCAACAGAAGACAGAACTAGCCACCATTGAACGAGATTGTCTTAACAACAAGCAGCAGCTTATGAGAGGTATCCAGCACTGGATTATTCTTAAAACCTGATTTTTTGATTTGTATTTTAGTAAAATAATAAACTTGTCTTAAATTTATGAAATCAAATGTCTCCAAGATTAAGGGTTCTAGTAATATATATGTTATGGATTAGCATTCTTTTTAAAAATGGCCTTCACGTGCATTTTAAGCATACATTTATGTGTAGATTAAAAACTTGTATTGTACATTCTGAACAAGCCTCCCTCTTTCTGCAGCTCGTGAAGCTGCAATCTGGGAGCTGGAAGAAAGACACTTGCAAGAGAAGCATCAGCTCCTCAAACAGCAACTCAAAGATCAGTACTTCATGCAGAGACACCAGTTGCTTAAGAGGCATGAAAAGGTTAGTGCTGACTTTAACACTTTCCTTTGTGTATTATAATCTCTGGTGGTTTTTTGTTGTAAGTTTCTTTATATATATATATATAAAATCTCAAGTAGTCTGAGAATCTCCACTGGTAGCTGTTTGCTTGCCTAGGCAAGACCCATGGAGGTGTTTTCATGCTATGCATGTTCTGTCAAAATCTTCTAGACTGAAGTGCGTGAAATGATTGTATTTCCCCTTAAATTCTTTTTTTTTTTTTTTTTTTTTAAGTAAAATAGACTTTTTTATTATTTAGTAACCAACAGAGTTTGGGCTTTTAGTTAAATAAATCTACTCATTAGTAATTCACTCTGGAATTAAATGAACAGAATGATGACCTGGATTGGCTTCCTGGGACAAGAAGCTGAAGACTGTCTCCTTAGACCTGGAGCTTATCAAAGTCCAGAAGACAATACTGGTATTTTCTGCAAGGCATTTAACATCAAGTTTTTTATAGAATACACTGAGTAGATTAGTTCAACTGCAGTATCAGTGGGCCTGGGCCTGATTTCTGCTGAGAAAAAATGGAATTCAAACAACATGCTTGTCGATGAAATGAGATAGGAATGTTCCAATGGATACTCTATAATATTTCTATGCTGTTAATATTTTAGGAAACAGAGCAAATGCAAAGGTATAATCAACGACTTATTGAGGAATTAAAGAACAAGCAAACTCAGGAAAGAGCACGGCTGCCTAAAATCCAACGAAGTGAAGCAAAGACCCGAATGGCTATGTTTAAGAAAAGTTTAAGAATCAACTCATTAGCTTCTCCAGACCAAGATCGTGAAAAAATTAAGCAGGTGATTAATAACAACAGTTACCAGTGTTATTAGTGTAAATGTTTGATGTGATCTAAATGTGATCATGAGGCAGAGTGCATCCTCAACAGGTTTGCAGATGATTCAAAACTGGTAGGAGTGGTTCTTAGACCAAAAGATTGTGCTGTTATTCAGAGGAACTTCAAGGCTGGAGAAATGGGCCAGCGGGAATCTCATTCATGAAATTCAGCAAAGGGAATGCAGAGCCCTGCACCTGGGGAAGAATAACCAGGGCAGGCTGGGCAACAACCAGCTGGAGAGTAGCTTTGCAGAAGAGGTGTCCTGGTGGACAAGTTGAATGTGGGTCAGCAACATAAAGAAAATAAAGAAATTCCAAGATTATTTAAGATTATTCTCTTCAGATATGCTGTATATGTTCATTCTGCTCTATACAGTTCTTTGATTCAAATGCAAAAAATTGTTGTCTCTAGAGGTACAATATATGTTTTTTTTCATAGTTTGCTGTTCAAGAAGAAAAGAGACAAAAAAATGAGAGACTGGCTCAGCATCAGAAACATGAAAACCAAATGCGGGACCTTCAGTTGCAATGTGAAGCAAACATCAGAGAGCTGCACCAATTACAGGTTAAAAATAGATTCTATGAAATGAACATTCAATGGGAAGATACACAGGCCAAGCAGAAATATTTTTCCTTCATTTTTATCTGTTCATGTGGATTTTTGAGAATTTGAGGCATACTCTTAATTCCTAAGCTTAGAACAATTAATGAAAAGTCATTTTACATACAGTCATTTTACATTTTTATATATGAGGCAGGCTAAAGCATTGCACGCTCACCTGCTGCTAACCTCTGTCCAGAGGAATCTGTTGGAGGGAGCTGGTTCTGCACTGCTCCCTTTCTCATGTCTTAGGTACCAGTCTGTGCCTGGGCCGCAGATCTGCTTCAGTAAATCCTCAAGTACAGCAGGAGTTGGTGCACGGCTCTCATTGCAAGTAAAACTGATCAGATTAGGCTACCTTTATTTTTGCTGAGGACGTTTTGGCCCCTCACTGCACTCAGGACTAGCCAAGTGCTTGTCATTTTTGTTCCTGTGTTTTCAGACTTTGCATCAGGCACAGCTGGGTTTTGAGCTCTAGAAACAAGCACATGGGTATTGACAACTACCACTGCCAACTCCTCTTAAAAATTAAAGATTTGTTCCGGCCAAATGCTTAACTGTACTTTTGCCATTATGCTTTGAAGCTCCTGTTAATATTTGGCAGATGCATATATATCTTACTGGGTGGAATTTGGCATCAATGGATGCTTTGATTATCCTTTTTTCTTTTTACAGGGTGAGTCTGAGGCTGCTTCTACAAGCACATTTGCTCTCCTCCCTAAACCCTATTTGTTAAGTTTGAGCTCCTTGGTACCAAGAGTTCAAATATTTCACATGCACCCCTTTTTAATTTAATTGATTTTAATAAATTATACAAACTGCATTTAGGAAGCAAAGCAGAAATACTGCATGACCTAATCAAGGTCATGCAGTAATCACTGTGTGATTAGGCAGTGAAGCACAGGCAGTATCGGGTATGGCTGTTAGGCACTCTGAATGGTACCTAGTATTTAGTTATTTATCTATCTCAGTTGGTTCTGATGGAACTGGATCAGCTTTTGGTAATGCAGCCTCAGTAGCATACATCTATCTTGTAATTATTCACATCACTATTTACACAGAGTAAGCTAATTAAAAAGAATTAGGACAGCATATGCCACCGCACAAATGCGGAGCTGTCTAATCTGAATTAGTTTTACTTAAGGATTATTTTTATCTTGTTTTAAGAATGAAAAATGCCATCTACTGGTTGAACACGAGACTCAGAAGCTAAAAGAACTAGATGAAGAGCACAGCCAAGAACTGAAGGAATGGAGAGAGAAACTGAGACCAAGAAAAAAGGTAAATTGGAGCAGTTTGTGCAACATTAGTTCTTGCAAACTGGACAGTCATAAATTGGACAAGACAAAAAGTATGACATAGGAGGAGACTTCAGCCACTATAAAAAAAAAAACTGTCATAGCTTATTGTTTGAAAAGATATTTAATGTACGCAAAAGCTGAGCAAGAAGCATGTGAACAAGAAAGGCTTGTGTGTGATCTGTCTTTTAATGTATTCCCTCTTATAGGGCATATGTGCATGTTAAACCTCTTACCTGGAGGCAAAGCTGGTTTTCAGAAATATATTTCAGAAGCCATTAGGATATGACAAAAATTCTGAGTGCTAAATAACAATAGAAGTTTTCTCTAATAATTTCATTTTAAAAATGGAAAATACCATGTCTTCACACAATTTAAAGACAAAACCTGTAGGCAGGAGGTTTTTTAGCCTACTGGCTATCAGTTGTTTTGGAAATTTGGTAATTGCTTGGTGGGTCTTTTTAATCACAGTGTGTGAAGTTATGGTTCTCTATCAGACAATGTCACCAGTTTCATAGGTGGTTTGTACTAAATTCCTGCGGTGATCTGATCTTTGCTTTTAGACTTTGGAAGAGGAATTTGCTAGAAAACTGCAGGAGCAGGAAGTTTTCTTTAAAATGACTGGAGAATCTGAATGCCTTAATCCTTCAACACAAAGTCGGATTTCCAAATTCTATCCCATCCCCAGCCTTCACTCCACCGGGTCGTAACTCTGGGAACTGCTGTAGCTTTGTCATATTTGGAATTCTCCATCCTCATCATCTAACCTGGTATAATCTGCGCCGTACATCAAAGGACCGCAGTGCTCCTTGTTTCCAGTGGAGACAATCACTGTCAGTTTTTTCCTTTTCCTCTGAATGGAAGAAAACAAAAAAGGAGAACAGACCTTGGTGTGTAATGGAAATGTGATGTCCTTCAGATGTTTCAAGAATAAGTGGATTTTTTTAATCTAAGACTCAGTACATTACCTTTGGGTTTGGCTTCAAGTAAGTAAGCCTAAAATAATATAATCTTTGTGGTCACAAAAAAAAAGAAAGGTTCCTCATGTGAACGTGTAAATGGTGTAATACTAGTTCTACTACCCTGTTTTTAAATGTCTGATTTCTCCACAACAGAACTCCATAATGCAACTGCCATCAGAGGTTTTAAATGTTGTAGGGTTGAGTAGTGTCTTCGTAACAAGGACTGAAGCTAATTACTCGGAACATGCCAATGATCAGGAAGAAAAGCCCTTACATTTAAACATGATTGGTAACAGCAAAAGCCTTTACAACTTCTTTAAACAAACAAACAAAAACCTCTGGCATAAATTAAACTGAGCAGATCTCCATTGCATATTTTGTCCATTAATTCAGTCATGAAATGGGGTGCTAGTTTAATTAATACAGTGCCTGAAACACTTAGATATGCTACTTTTGGCAACAAGATAGTGTTTTGTCATTAAAGAAAACCTCCTTAACATTGTTGTTACTGTACAAAACAAAGTAATTCTTGCTGCTACTGCCATTTTTGTCATAAGTCCTCACCCTAAAATATTTTGCACTAAAATATGTAAAGGTGAAAAGAATGCTAACTTTAAAATGCACAATTTGTTGTTTTCTTTAGCTACTACAGGTGGTTAGTTCTACAAATGGAAAAACTGTAGAATGTATTTTTTAGAACACAGTGTGCAAAATGCACGTGGTTTCTCTAACTTTACCTGGAATAGGTAGAGTCATCTTTTGGTTCTTACCAAAGCCTGCTCGTTTAAGCTCCTCAGAAAAGTGGAGGTGGGTGGTAATATTTATAAATAACCATGCCTGAAGTCTGATTCAGTTAGAAGTGTTAGACTTGTGTTTTTTTTTGTTTTGTTTTTTTTTTAGTCATTTTATTTTATAGAGAGATTTAAGTTAAATATATAGACAAATTACAAAGCTGGGGTTTTTGCTTTTGTTTTGCTACATACTAACATATACAGTTTTTATTTTTCAAGTTAATAGATGTATAATAAGTTATTTACCTGACTGATCTGCAGTGGAAAAAAAAATTCTGAAATGTTTCTCATATAGCTAGTAGGGAAATATAACTGTATTAGTTCACTTTTAGTGCACTCCTTTTGACGGTTAGAATTTGAGTCATATCAAGCCAGTATTTTGGGCTGTGCTTTGGTATGCCAAAGTTAAATTTGTAAAATAGTATTTGCTTTCTGTCCTTGGAGGCCTCTCTTTCTAGCCTCTTGGGGTATCAACTGTAAACATTTCCTTTTTGTTTTGCTAGCTTGCATTAAATGTGAGCCTGGTGGACATTATAAGATGTTCATTTCATGGGAGCAGTATTGATGCATGGGAATGAACTCATAATAACATAGGACTTTAATCAGATTTGGTTGAAATCTTGGATGCTGAAATCCTTGGATGCTGAACATATACCTTCTTAAGGAAGATGCTTCAAATTTACAGCACAGTAAGAATAATTGGAAAATGCATGCTTTGATTTAAATTTTGTAACTTTTTGATAAGCATAATTAATAGCTAGCCTTAATTTCTGGCATTTTATTATATAATTATGTAATGTGTACTGTTGTAAACTCACATACCATATCTCTAGAATGTTACCTGTTGCTAAATGCAAAGTTCTTTAAATTGCTTATTCGGTAGGGAGAAAAATGTCCTTCGCTTTTTGAAGTACACCATTTTAAATTGACTGTTACAAAAATAACATTGAAATAATCCTTACCTCTGTGTTGAACAGAATTTATTTTAAATTTCATATAAAATAAGCTCAGTGATTTATCTGGAGAGTCAACGTGGCTGGCAAATTTCCTCTTCTGAATTCTTTCTTTTCTCATGCACGTTAAATTCTCTGGGAAAGATGTTATCTCCTTTTTATACTCTTGGTGGTTTTGGTGATAATTTGCTAATATACATTAACATACTGTTTGACTCTGTCTAAATGTCTTAAATCTATTATTTGAATTTCATCGTTTTCACAGGAAACCTCTGTATTTGATCTCACTGTAACTGTACAAATAAATCACTGAATTCTCCAAGGAAGGGGGGGTTTGAACGGAGCAGCCGGAGCCTTAGTGAGTGTTTGGTCTTGAGTCACCCTATGAAGCAGTTGCAGCCTCGTGAACGGTGCTGAGAACTGCTCCCTGGTGTGAAAGTGCATTTTTCTGGGGTAGCAGGAACTGGCACAGGAACTTGCACGTTTAGACTGATAACATGGGATTTAAAGCAGTGAGAACATGAGAGAGGTGCACGCTGTTATCTCAGGTCAATCCCAGTGAATTTAGTCTCACATAGACTTGAAAGAGATCTGCTGAGACACAAAATCTGACCTCTCTGCTTCACATGTTGCTAATCCTTTAACAAGTGCAACAAGCCCCATCTCCAAGGCAGTTCGGCACGTTCCCCTTAGCTGCATGTGGCGTGTTACTTCCTGCCAGTTTGGCAGATCCTGTTTTCCCTGTGTGCCCCTCAGAGGAGCATCCCCCGCAGTTTGCTCTTGGCTGTGCTCTCCTCGTCCCCAGTACTTGCAGAGGAAGGCGCGCGGCAGCCGCGGTGCCCGCGGTGCGGAGCCGTCCTCCCCTTTCCCCTTGCTACTCACAGCTGATCCCTGCAGGGGCCGCTGACACATCCAGACCATCCAGACCGCAGAGTTCGTCCTTGGCCTCTGAGAGCAGATTTCAGCACTGACCAAAGCGGCTCTCCTGGGACAGCATCTCGTGAACGTAGCAGCGGTGGTGGTTCTTGCATCCCAGTGGTTACTAGAGCTCAGATATTTGCAGGATCCTGTGCTCTGTGTTGCAGGTGGGTGGGAGATGGCAGCGTAGACACCTTGGGTACGCGGGCTGCCCGTGGCGCCAGGAGGCTGCTCTGGAGGGAAGGGACCACGGGCCGGGGGCCCTGCCACGTGCTGGGCAGCAGCAGAGATGGTCCAGCCAGCTCCCTCCTCCCTGCTTCTAGTAACAATCGGTGGTTTTTTTCCAAGTACTTGGCTTTCTCTGATGAATACATGGAAAAATACATATGTAGAGTGTGAAAGGATATGTGGTTAGGGTCCAGAAACTTGGCGTGTGCTGTCGTTGTTACACTTGCCTACTTAGATCTTACTCTAGGATTAAAGGTTTTCTTTGGCAGGTGCAGGGATGTCCAAACACAAGTTCAGGGGAGGCAGGGATGCAGCTATTGACAGTGCCAGCGCCGGTGGCAGTTAGCCTGGGACTTTTCATGTCATTTTAAAGTTATATTCACGCCAAATTGCATCCTGTTTTCGAGAATATCTTTTAAGGTAATATCCTAAAGTTATGTTCATCATATGGGATATATAATAGAGGGCTGGCTGTTAAAAAGTGATCCTTGTGTTCAAAGGGACTCCCTTCTTTATAGTTATGATACTGTTGTTGGTTTTGGTTTTTTATAAATAAGTAAATAAACAGGAAACTTAGCACCTTGGCTAAGTCAGAGCCTTGAGAGAACCAAGCAAAGCAGCAGTGTAACTGCTTTCCTCAGGTCACTATAAAAATGCATTTTATGATGGCACGTCACATAGGACATTTAATTCTCCAGTATCTGTCTAGTAGGTATTTCAAGGACACTTTGATACATAAAAGTTTTAAGTGGGTTTTTTTCTTGTTTTTTATTATTATTATTATTTATTTCTAATTGTTTAGTTCAAACCCCTAGATCCACACTGAGGTAGTCTGGTTCTCACAAGTGCTGCAGAGCTCCGCAGAGCTCCGCAACCCTGGTCCTCAGCGGCAGAGGGAGCAGGCGCCGCACGGTGCCGCCCTGCGCGGCCGAGCTCGCCGGGCCGAGCGTTTCCACCGAGCCGGCAGGCGCCGGGGGAACCGCGCAGCGCGAGTCGGGGAACGTGTGCTGCCGCTGCAGGGGGGCGCAGCGGGGATGTTTGTCTTCATCGCTGCGTGGTGACTGTCTGCGCTGGCATTTGCTGCACAGCCTGGGCGGTCTCTGCAGGGCTTCCTGGGGCCGCACGCGTTGCCCCTCCCTGGCCTCAGCACCAGGTTTGGGAGGTCCCCTAGTCCGGGACGCGCCACAGCTGGGATAAAGCAGCCGGAAGGAAGGACGGCGGAGTCAGTAGGTTGTTTTCCTGGCTGGTAGGAAGTTGTTTGCAGAGCGTGGAGCGGTGCTGAGGCTGCTGGTCGAGCCCAGCAGTCAGTACCGCCGCTGGCCTCGTTCCGTGGCTGCCTCTGGAGAACGAGGTCTGTCCTACTCAGACGGGCAGGGGGGGAGCCGCAGGGAGGAGCTCGGCCCTTCGCCCTTGCCAGTAACTTTTCCAGCTACAACTACAGGCTCGTTTGGCTGTGGCTGAGGTACCACGGGTGGCCAGACCCCAGCACAGCCAGGCCCCTTGAGGCTGGTTACCCGCTTGTCAAGGGCCCTTTGGTTCTCTCAGTTGTGCTCTGTCTGCCTCCCACCTCTCCCACAGTGGGCAGGGTAAAAAATTGTGGATCTTCATCCTTTATTTCTGTAACTACCCCACTTTCGGCACGGGGGCGGGAAAAAAAAAAGTCAGGAAGTGGAAGGGGACATTGAAACCTGCCATGTTGGCAGCCGTGCCTGCTGTCAGGAGGCGGCAGCGCCTCCCTCCTCGCCTGTCTGCACAACTTGTTGAATGTTTTGTGTTAGCTGCACACCAAGTTACTTCTGCCTTACGTGACGGAACCAAAAATGAGATGGACAAATAATTGGCTACAGATCAGTGTATGAACAGCTCATGGCAGGGAATTTGCAGTAGCAGCCATACAATGGGGCTTTTTTAATTTGATTTCATGGTTTTCTGTAGAATATTGTAATAATTTTGCTGTAAATACAATAAAATCAGTTTG